CCCGGGAGCCGGGACTGAGCAGGGTGCCGGGTGCCGGCGAAGGTCTCCTCTTTCCCACGCGGGCCTGGCCGGGCACTTTATACCCGGGGGGACTCGGTGATTTACAGCCGCGGGCGGGCGGGCAGCTGGGCTCCATAAACCGCTCAACCCCGCTCACATGATCCATCTTCTCTCTGGGCTGAATTTGGGGAAGTGCGCGAGGGAGCCAGATAAGGCGGATGATATGATACGATATGTCTCCGTCAAGGGGCGTCCCCACCCCTGGTCCCGGCACCCAGAGAGCACCCCGCCCCGGCGCCCCACGCGATTTGCGATCCAGGCGCCCTGAAGGCTGATGATGCCCTGGAGTCGCCGGGCGCCCAAGACACTCTCGCAGTCCCAGCGCGCCGGAGACCTCCTCTGGGCGCGGCCTTGCGGGCCGGACCGCGTCCCTCTTCCCCCGACGGCCCTGCTCCTCCTCTCGAGCGCCGGGCCCACGGGGTGCTGCGAGCAGCGCGCGGGGCTCCCTGCGTCCGGCCGCGCGGGGCCGCACCTGCCCTCTGGCGCCCCCTGCTGGAGCGCAGCTGCCCTACCCCGCGCGCGAGGACCGCGACTCGCTGGCCGCGTCCTACCGGCTCCCTGGAGGGATGCGCACGCCCGGCTCCAGCCCACTGCCCTGGGGTTTAGGCTCGCCAGCCCGCTCCTAGGCACCCCTCCCCAGTCGTTGGTTGCTCCTTGGACGGCTGGGCGGGAGAAATCGGGGACATCCTCGGCACCAGGACTCTGGATGGACCCTCGGATGTACTGGGGCTGGGCACTTTTAGAGGGCGGACAGGACCTCCAGTGGTCTGTCTGCGAGCTGAGCCCCGGTGTTTAGGACCCAGGGGAAGCCGGGGGCGGCGCCCTGAGCGGCGGAGCATTCCACTCCTCCCCCCGCCCCCCTAAGTCTGGTACTCGGCTCAAATGTCCCTTAGCCGTGGCTCTGGCGCTCCGCATCCTCCGTCTGCGGCAGCGGGGGCTGGCGGCCCCGGCCTCTGCCCGACCCCCTCCCCCAGCCCCATGCCCCGGCCCTGACCCCAACGCCCTCCCTAGCGGGGGGCTTCGCCCCGAACCCCTGGCCCGCCCCGTCCACATCGGGCATCATGAATGACCAATACCATCGTGCGGCCCGAGACGGCTACCTGGAGCTGCTCAAAGAGGCCACCCGGAAGGAACTGAACGCCCCCGACGAGGATGGCATGACCCCCACCCTCTGGGCTGCCTACCATGGCAACCTGGAGTCTTTGCGCCTCATTGTGAGCCGCGGGTGAGTGCCCCACCACTCCCACCGCCTGTGAGAGAAGGAAAGGGGTTCCCGGTGCCCAGGTCAGGGAGACACAGCCCCCTGCCAGACTGCCAGGAAGTCCCTCTCTTCCCCACAAACTCTAGCTGGGACCTTGTGCTTGGTAGCTGTGAGGGGGAAGCCCAGAGACTTTGAACATGGGAGCTGGCTATGGAGCTTAGGAGGGGAGGGAGTGGGATTGGGGAATGCCAGGATTTTGGGAGGGGGGGTGTCACCTGGAGGCAAGAGTGAAGGGAGTGGATGGGCTCAAAGGGCAGGTGGGGCTAGAAAAAGAGTCCCCAGAGGGGCCTCCCACCCCTCTCTCCCATGGCCTGCCCATTGCTGGGATTTATGGGCACTTTCTAAAGGTCATGGGCTCAGCCATGGGGGGGTGGGGGTGGCTCTGGGCCCCTCCTCCACTGTAGGCCTCACTGATCCTTGAAGGGGGATCTCTCTCTGCCCTATCCCTTTGGGGTTGTCCTGCAAGAAGGGGTGGGTCAGGACCCCAGGAGTGGCTCCCTGGGGTTGTAAAGCTCCCTAGGAACAACTCTGCTGGCAGAGACCTGGGGCTGGGAGGGCCTGGGGTGGGAAGGGGGTTGGAAGAGAGACAGATATGGAGGATAGGGCTGGCCCTGGAGACAGGCTCTGGGGGCAGGCTCCGGCCTAAGTCTGTGGGGGCTGAGGACCCTTCTTGCTCCCCTCCTCACTTTCCTGGGCCCTGTCCACCTAAGACAGCTGGGCCAGCCAGCTTCCCAGAGGCCTAAGTTGCCCCCCTAACCCCCAGGGCTCACTGTGACCCCTGACCTCTTGACTCCCCTCAGAGACTCACCAGAGGAGGAGAGGGATTCCCTTGGTGCCCCCCACCCCAGAGGGCAAGGGCTGGCCTTTGATGGAATATGGGCCAGAGGCCAGCCTGCCCTCCCCACATCAGAGTGTAGGCCTCAGAATCCAGGAGGGCAGCTGAGGGGGCTAGGGAGCTGCTGGAACAAGGGAGTGTTTCTTCCTGGTCTTTGTGACCTCATTAGTGTGGGCAGGGGCTGCCTGGCCTGAGCGAGGCCCTTAAGGAAGAACTGGGGAGGAGCCAGCACCCAGGTTCCCGCCAGCAGGCAACCAACCCAGGGGACAGTTCCGTGTAAGGGGTGTTAGAGAGAGCTGAGTGGGGACCCCTGGGCAGTTCACATAGCCTCATATAGCCGCCAGGATGGGGCGGCTCTGGGTGGCGGGAATGGTAGCCCGGCTGGGCACCCTGCTTCCACCTCTTCCCTCCCATTCTGGCTGCCCCCACACTCCCCTCCTGGCCCAGGCCAAGGCCCGACACCTGCTCTCACACACCGGCTTGCCAAGCCTGGCCCCGATCCCTGCAGACCTGGCCAGGCCACGACCTGCCAGCGCAGGCCCTGCCTGCTCAGCCGAGTGGTGGCCCAGCACACACCACCTGCCCTGGGCCGGCCCACTCAGCGGGCACGCACAACCGCACTCACCACACGCCAGCCTGAGACCCAGCCTCGGCCCTGGCCCACCACCTCCCCGGGCCAGCTGCCCGCAGGGGCCCATGAATAATTCACTCCTTTCTCTCAGGGCATCAAATATTTATCCCCTGAGATTCCCAGCCCTCATTCGCTGGCGAAAGCCCCGCCCCTGCCCCGCCCCTTCCGGAGCCCCGCCCGTAGGTGCCTGGGGAGTGGGGGGCGGGTTCGTCCGCACCCTCCTCATTTGGCCACGCACCTGCACGTCCCCTGGAATCGGAATAGAGGTCTCAGCCCCATGGGTCTGTAGCGACCTGGGGTAGCTGCACCAAAGTTCAGCAGGGCGCTGGGCCCCTGCCGTTCATCTGGGTGACTCACCTCACTGCCCCCCCCCCACGTGTCCTCCCTGCAGGGGTGACCCGGACAAGTGTGACATCTGGGGCAACACACCCCTGCACCTGGCAGCCTCTAATGGCCACCTGCACTGCCTGTCCTTCCTGGTGTCCTTCGGGGCCAACATCTGGTGCTTGGACAATGACTACCACACGCCGCTGGACATGGGCGCCATGAAGGGCCACATGGAGTGTGTGCGCTACCTGGACTCCATCGCCGCCAAGCAGAGCGGCCTCAACCCCAAGCTGGTGGGCAAGCTGAAGGACAAGGCCTTCCGCGAGGCGGAGCGGCGCATCCGGGACTGCGCCAAGATGCAGCGCAAGCACCACGAGCGCATGGAGCGGCGGTACCGGCGCGAGCTGGCCGAGCGCTCGGACACGCTCAGCTTCTCCAGCCTCACCTCCAGCACCCTGAGCCGCCGGCTGCAGGGCCTGGCACTGGGCAGCCACCTGCCCTACTCGCAGGCCACGCTGCATGGCACCGCCCGCGGCAAGACCAAAATCCAGCGCAAGCTGGAGCGGCGCAAACAGGGCGGGGAGGGCACCTTCAAGATCTCCGAGGACGGCCGCAAGAGCGTGCGTTCCCTCTCAGGGCTGCAGCTGGGCAGCGACGTGATGTTCGTGCGTCAGGGTACCTACGCCAACCCCAAGGAGTGGGGCCGCTCCCCGCTCCGGGACATGTTCCCCTCCGACGGGGACAGCCTCTCCCGTGCCACGCTGCTGGCGGCTGAGCCAGCCCACTCGGAGGTCAGCACCGACTCGGGCCACGACTCCTTGTTCACGCGGCCTGGCCTGGGCACCATGGTGTTCCGCCGGAACTACCTGAGCAGCGGGCTGCAGGGCCTGGGCCGCGAGGACGGTGGCCTGGACGGGGCAGGCACGCCGCGGGCTCGGCTGCAGAGCTCCCCCAGCCTGGACAATGACAGCCTGGGCAGTGCCAACAGCCTACGGGAGCACAGCTGCCCCGAGGAGCTGCCCTGGGACGACATGGACTTGGGCCTGGACGAGGACCTGGAGCCGGAGACCAGCGCGCTGGAGACCTTCCTGGCCTCCCTGCGCATGGAGGACTTCACTGCCCTTCTGCGCCAGGAGAAGATCGACCTGGAGGCGTTGATGCTCTGCTCCGAACCGGACCTACGCAGCATCAGCATCCCGCTGGGCCCACGCAAGAAGATCCTGGGGGCCCTGCGTAGGCGGAGACAGGCGCTGGAGCGCCCACCTGCTCTGGATGACACGGAGCTGTGAGTGCCGTGGGGGGCTGGGGGGGAGGAACCTCTAACTCAGAGCCATCCTGTGAGTTAGACGCACAGCGACCCCATAGGACAGAGTAGAGCTGCCCCGTGGGTTTCTGAGACTGCCATTGCATGGGATCAGACAGCTCCCACCCAGCGCCTGATGGTTTCCAACTGCTGGCCTGGCACTTAGCAGTCCAGTGTAACCACCTGACACCAGGCCTCCTTTACAGCCTCAGGACCCCCATGGAGGGTCCCCCTGGTGAGTCAGAAAGGCCTCGATAGCAGTGGGCTGGCTGTAAGAAAGCTCCAGGCGGTGACTCAACCGGCTACTACAGGGGTCCTCAAACTTTTTAAACAGGGGGACAGTTCACTGTCCCTCAGACCCGTTGGAAGGCCGGACTATAGTTTAAAAAAACACTATGAACAAATTCCTATGCACACTGCACATATCTTATTTTGAAACAAAAAAACAAATGGGGCAAAAACTTTACCTGGCGGGCCGGATAAATGTCCTCTGCAGGCCGAATGTGGCCCCGCCGGCCATAGTTTGAGGACTCCTGGGCTAGTACATAAAATAGGGTGGGCGGGGGTCTCTCAACATTGGTGGCAAAGTCAGTTTTATGAAATACGGTATTATGAAGAAAAAAGCCTGGTGTTATGCCCCGCCCCTTCTGCCACACATAACAAAATCCCAAGGAGCATTGGTGGTGGGTTAGCGTTGGGCTGCTCACCTACTAACCGAAAGGTCAGCTGTTCGAAGCCACCACCAGCTGGCCGCGTGGGACAGGAAAGATGAGGCTTTCTACTCCCATAAAGAGTTACAATCTTGGAAACCCACAGGGCACAGGTGAACCCTGTCGTAAATCAGGTCACTGAGTTGGCATGGACTTGATGGGGGTGAATTTGGTTTTTTGGTTTTTTTTTGAGGATGTCAATCTTCATGGGAGCAGATTGCTCGCTCTCTCATAGCAGCTGGAGGGCTTGGCCAATGCTTACCTGTTAGCTCTGATGCTTACCTGGTAGCAACACCGGGTGAATGTAAAAAAATAACAAACTCACTGCCATTGAGTCAAAGCCGACTGATAGTGACCCTACAGGACAGGGTAGAAGTGCCCCTGTGGGTTTCCGAGACTGTCACTCTTAACGAGGAGAGCAGAAAACCTGGTCTTTCTCCCATGGAGTGCCTGGTGGTTTCAAACTACTGACCTTGCACTTAGCAGCCCAGTGAGTAACCACTGGGACAAATGCAAAACCAAAACGTGGGGAAAGGACACCATGGTTTCCACGAGATGTTATCACCCTGGTAACGGCCCCAGAATGATTCCGAGCCCTGCCACCCCCACCCCCTACCCCCCCACCCCTACCCCTGGGCGCTGGGCTAGCCCTGCCGGTGTGAGTGGACTATGCCACTCACATTAGAAGATGGCAAAGTGGAGACTTGGAGGGTGCAGCGGTTCACCCCAACCTCCGCCATGCTCAGGGCAGAGTTGGGCTGGGCCCTGGTCTGTGTAGCTCTTAGGCCTGGGACAAGGCACCTCCCTTGGCATGTGGGCAAGGCAGTCAGCAGGTCACTCCAAGTGGCCAAGCCTGCAAGGCAGATGTTTTACCCGCCAGCCAGAGGCCAACAGTGGCAGAGTTGTCTTATTCAAAAGCCACCAACGGTGACCCAGAGTGCTGTTGGCCCATCCCTGCCCCAACCCCTGGACATCAGCTATGTGCTGGCAGGTCCCTTCCGGGGCCTCTCCCTTATGGCACCCCACAAACCCCAGCAAGTCCTGCTCCTCTCCCCTTGATATCTGTGGCCCTGACTCTGGAGCACTGGGTGTGGGGAGGCAGTCGGGGTTCAAGTTTGGGACACAGGGCACCTCTTGCCTGCAGGGAGGTGAGGTGAAGCACTCAATGCCTGGCCCGAGGGCAGACACTTGCGGTCTCCCCAGGACCTCACTGAGCTCTGTCTCTCTTCCTCCACAGATGATGGGGGCTCCAGACCAAACCAATCGTGAGTTGCCACATCCTCTGGTGTGGGGCTGCTGGGCCCCCCACTGCCAGCCCCGCAGCCCCACCTTCCTTGGGAGTAAGGAGCACTGGTTCACCACCCTCAAGAGCCTGCCACACCTGCAGCCGAGGGGAGACCTGTGGGCACCTGGAGGCCCAGAACACTGGTCCCAGGGCTCCCGGAGGGCCTGAAGGGGCGAGTGCCCTCTGTCAGGGCTTGGAGCCACCCCCAACTGAGCGGCCAAAAGGGACACCTGGCTTTGCGGGGCGGCTGTCCCCATGCACCTCTGTCCCTCCACACCACCCTCCCGCCGCTCTCCTACAGGCAGGCTGGGGCCTTGCCTATGTGGACTGTCTCCTATCTCCTTCCGCCACAAATGTACCTAGAGGCAGTTATACCAGACTCTTCAGCCAAATGCCCCTTCCTGTCCCTTCCATCCCTCCTATCCAAGAGCTCGGTCACCTCTTCTCCTTCACCCACTGGCCATGGCGGGAGCTGGAGAGCCAGGTGGGGTGAGAGGTGACAGGTACCCTCCCACCCTGTCCTGGCCTCCAGGTACCCCAGGGGGTTGGAGACACAGTTTGCAGTATTAATGTCCCTGGGCCTGGTGCCTGCTCTGGATCAAGGAAAAACCTCTACCAAGTGCCTCTGTGTCACCTGGCTCTGGACAGGCAGGGGCTGGGTGGGGCTGGGCTTCAGGCAAGTCCAGCAAGGTGGACATGGAAGGGGCCTGAGGTCGTGGCTCATCTTGGCTCCTGGCCCTCCCCAGGTCCCCAGGGCGGGGTGTGTGTCCCTGGGTAGCAGGGATTGGCTCGTTTACCTCATGGTTAGGAAGGGGCTGGGCTGCTGTGTGAATCTGTGAGCACAGGGTCATGCATGGGCTCACCATGACTCCCATCTCTGTGGTGTGGGGACACCAGGGGAGACGAGACGGATGTGTGTTGAGTTACATTGGAGTAGGGGATCCACTCAGGACCCCTCTGCCCCTCGCATACCACACCTGCACACAGACAAGCCCGTCTCTGCTCATTCAAAAGCACCCCCTTCCCAATCCCTGCCCCTCCTGGGCCCCTTCAGGGGGACAGGTAGAGAGACACCTCCCCACCCAGGGAACCTCTCAGACTTCCCTTGGGCCTGTCTCGGGGGGCACTCTGGGACACACCTGTGGTGGGAATGGGCCCTCCTGAACACCCCCCAGAGCTGGGGCATAAGGAGCAGGGTCCTGCTTTCCACCACCACAGGGCACTAAGGTCTCAGCTGCCTGCCACCGCCACCCGGAGCCTCCCCAGCCCTCCCTCCCCCTGGGCCTGGGGCCACCCCAAGTGCCGATCCTTTCTCTGGCCCCAGGTGCCACCCCTTCCTTCCCTCTCAGCCCCACCCAGGTCACCCCCCTGGGATGGGAGGTCCTGCCATTCCAGCCACGGCCCAGCCCCTCCCGCAGCAACATTATAATGTCAGAGAGAATGTTCTCCACCCTCCCTGTGTCAGCGTCTCCTCCTTTAGTCTCTTGGGGGCAGGAGGCGGGGAGGGAGAGGCTCTCTCAGGGCCAGGGGACTCAGCCTGCCCCTCTGAAGGAGACCTGGAGTCTTGGACAACCACTGGGCAGGGTCTCCTCCCATCGTCATCTCTGCATGGTCCCCCCTCATCCCTGGGCCAACCAGGAACTGGCTGGGAGGTCAGCCAGCCCAGGGCAGACCACACCATCCCATGAGAGGATCCACCAGGAGGCCAGAGTGGTTCCTGGGGTGTCGGAGGAGAGGGAGTGGCAGACTCCCAGCCCTCATAGTCCAGAATTAGGAGTTGATGGAGGGGAGGGCTAAGAACTGGGGTAAGAGTGTCCCCAGCAGCTGAGCCACAAGGTGGCCCAGGCTCCAGTTTTATTCCTGGGCGGGCAGTATTTTCACCATTCCCACCCAGGGCCAGCCTGCCTGGGCTTCTCCAGGGGTGGACACGTGCCCCAGACCTGCCACTCTGTCATTCAGTCCCCGGGCCCATGGCCCTGTCCTTCGGGCCCTGACCTACCCTGAGAAGATTTCCCATGTCTTCACCAGTGCCCTGTCCCTGGCAAGCTCTTGGGGGCAGCCGGATTCAGAAGCCAATCTCTCCCAAGGTGGACTCCCGGGCAGCACAGTGACTAAATACGTGACTGTAAGCCTGAGGGTGGGTGGTTTGAACCGACCGGTCACATGGTGGGCGACAGATGTGTCAGTCCACTTGTGCAAAGATGACCGACAGCAGGTCCTCAGGGGCAGCTCTGCTCTGACCTACAGAGTCACCAGAACCCAAAAAGTTCTGGCAGCCACAGGCTTGGTGTTTGTTCTCCCCCAGGGCAGAGGACCCTTGGCTGGTGGACTTTGTTCGATAAGAGTGCAAGAAAGGGCCGGGGTCATTTTGTTTCCAGGATGATATGCCAAGGGCCTCTACCACCGGATGTTCAAGATAGTTCTCCACAATCCCCACATGCCCTGATCATCTATCCAAAAGATGGCCCAGCAGCTGTCTACGGCTCTTAGGGTCTTAGGGTGCACTGCCCTCCACTTTACAGATGGACACACGGATGCCCGCAGAAGGAAAGGGGCTGATCCAAAGGGCTCCTACTGCGGCCACACTTTCCTCAGCCCCAGGCCACCCGGTGACCCCTGTCGGCCATCCAGGTTACTGCACCCACCTCACGAGGGACCCACTGGTCCCGAGAAGGACATGGGGGTGTGGAAACCAAGGACAAGCCTGAGAGTGGGTGGGGGCTCCTGCCGGGAGGCAGAGACTAAGCGGGGACAGCAGAGGCAGGGTCTCTGATGGCTGCAGGAGTCGCACCAGAAAGCGGGAGGGAACTTTAGACATAAAACGAGAGACACTTTTACACAGCAGGGACTCAACTTGCTCCACTGGAAATTTGCGGTCGAAGCCAGGGAACTCCTACAAGTTTAGAATCATGCCTGCCGCTTCAGCTAACCCAAACTAAGTCCGATGCCCTGGAGCCACTCCGGACTCACAGCCACCCTGTAGGGCAGGACCCACTGCTCCCATGGTCCACCCACCCCCCCCAGCTTGTCTGTGCCACCCTCGCCAAGGTAAGTCAGGGCTGTGTGGGAGGTGACAGGGCACAGGGGCCACTCAGCCCTGGACAGTAACACCAGGTAAGTCAGGGCTGTGTGGGAGGTGTCAGGGCCCAGGAGGCAGTCAGACCTGGGCAGTAACACCAGGCAAGTCAGGGCTGTGTGGGAGGTGTCAGGGCCCAGGGGGCACCAGTTCCATTTCTTCCCAGCTCTGTGGCTGGGCTGTTACCCAGCCCTTCAGAATCTACTTCTTCATCTGTAAAATGGGTATTCTAATAAAAGCATTAACCTCATACTGAAAGTTGAGTCTATGCTGACTCACAGCAGCCCTATAGGACAGGGCAGATCTGCCCCTGTGAGCTTTTGAGGCTGTAGCTCTGTATGGTACGGGAGTAGAAAGTGATGTCTCTCTCCCGTAGAGCTGCTGGTGTTTCGAACTGCTGACCTTACGGACGGCAATCGAACACGCAACCACTAGACCACGAGGACTACTTGGTAAGCCGATAGATTGTTTTTTTAAAAACCCAAACCAACTGCCATCCAGTTGATTCCGATTCATAATGACCCTCTAGGACAGATTAGAACTGCTTCCTAGGGTTTCCGAGGGTGTAAATCTTCACAGAAACAGACTGCCACACGGCTCTCCCTCATCTCACCTGGTGGGTTCGAACCACTGAGCTCCTCTGTGGTTAACAGCCTAGCTCTTAACCCTTCCAGGACCGGGAGGAGGGTGGAGTGATCCGCATCTAAATCGCTCACAGACTCCCGGACCTCAGGCACAGCAGCTAGTGCTGATCATGGTAATGGTTGGTCCTGGGACAAAGCAGGGGCAGTTGGCCCCGCCCCAGAGGTGAGTCCCAACCCCCTGAGAAGTGGTCGCCCTCTCCCTCTCAGTGGTTGCACCCCTTTCTGAGCAGCAGGGGGCATTGACAACCCAGCCAGGGGTCAAGGAATGGACGCATGGGGTCAACTAACCAAGGCTGGACTGCTATCCAGTGGGAGGACCCCAAGGGGGGCTGAGCGGTTCTTGGGTTATCCGAGGAGGGGGAGTAGCAGGCCCTCTGGGCCCCATTCACAGCATCCTCATGTTAGGTTGCCGTCAACACTCTCCCCTCCTCCTGTGAGGTCCGGAGCTGAGGACCGCTGAGGTCCTCTGGCCGATGAAGAGTCAGGATCAGAGAGAGCGCTTACTCCGGTCCCCTAAGGGCCCACGACCAGCAAGTGAGGGGCCTTTGGGGCTTTCAGTCACACTCCCTGGCCTGGGTCCCTTGGGCCACCCTTCTCCTCACAGGTGAGCTCTCTAGTTCTTTGTGTCGATTTATTGAGAGCTTCCAGGGAGGCAGGCTGGCAGTCCTTAAGAACGGCCCATGCAGCTGAATCACCTGGGCCCTGCTTCACAGGTGGAAAGTGGAGGCTCCAGGCAGTGATCTGGCCAGCCCGCCGTCACAGAGCTTGTAGGTGTATGAGCCAAGTTTCAAACCCAAATTTTCCCGATGCCAGGTGCCCAGGTGCCGGCTGGTACCGCCTGGCATCCTTCGGTGACCTCTTGGCTGCCCTTGATCTGGGCGAGTGCTACGGTCATTCTCAGGGGGGTGGGGGCCCGCTGGCTGTGTCACAGTCCAAACAGTGTGACCGATGGCACCCACCGGCAGGTCACTGGGGAGAATATGGTGGGAG